TGAGAGTTAAGCAATAAGCTTTATCTGCTAGTTTTTATACTTATGTGAATTCCACCACTCATAACCCATAACACTGACAGCTCTTCATAGAGTGCAGCTAGGAGTCCACAGTGATCTAACAGCAGCAGAGTGTGTGTGTGTGTGTTCTAATATATATTTGTGAGGACCATTTTGATCATAGACCCTAGAGAGTGGGGACATTTTGGCCTGTCCTCAGTTTTTCAAAGAGTAGGCTATGGTTTTAGGGTTAGAATTAGGTTTAAGGTATTTAGTTGTGATGGTTAAGGTAAGAGGCTGACGTGCATTATGCCTGAGTGTCCTCACTAAGACAGACGTACAAGAGTGCGTGTGTGTATGTGTGAATTATTCATTGGTCGGTTTTGGTTTCAGGGCTCCCCCTTGCAGGAACAGTGTGTGTTGGCAGGTAGCGAGGAAGAACCATGGAAGGACACGGTGAGTGAGAAATGGATGATGTATAAAGAGCTGCTGTGATACACGGAGCATGAGAGCGGCGAGTGCTGAGCTTGTGCGAGAAGCCTCTGTGTGTGTTTGTGTGTCTTCCTACCAGACAGTCTGAGAGAAACACTGGCCTGCTTGTTTTTGCAGCAGTGTACATTCGGGAGACTGTGAGGTCAACTCGCACTTACTGGGATCACAGTGTGTTGAAAAGGACACTTGACATTACACATCTGCTGTGTACTTATGGCGGCAAAACACTTACTGACGATGAGGGCAATACCCAAGAGGAACAGGACCACTGCGAAAACCAGGCCACCGATTCTCAGAGATTCATAATCTGAAAAGAGGAACAAGGACTGTAATGTGCAGTGATTAGCAGCACATGAAAGCTTTCAAACACAAAATCCCCCGGATTCTAAAGCCTGTCGAGGCCTTTGTCAGGAATTTAACCACAATTTCATTCAAGGACTGCACTGCAGAAATGTTCAGCATGCCCCCTAATGGTCATGTCGGGTCATTGCAAATTCCTGTGAGCTGCAGTCACTAAAAACGTGAACACCACGGTAGAGTGTCACAGTGAGCAAGGGTCAAGTGGAGCAAAGGAAATGGGACTTGTATGATTCTTTAACATAAAGGGGGGAAAAACGTATAAATAACAGCTAAAGAAAGAAAGAGAGAAAGCCGAGCAGGCAGCTGTAAATTTGTGGCATAGATTGTTTGGATTATATGTGATGCGTAGCTAATCAAATATTATTCTATATATTATCTATATATATTTGTATTGTTACCAATTTAAATCACAGATTTGTTAACATGCATGTGACACATGTAGTATTTTCAACTAGAAATTAGTCTAATAACAACTTCATGCATTTGCATGATTAAAGCAAATAAATATTGAGAATATTTTTTTCTGAATTAAAATGTTTTTTTAAATAAGGAGGAAATAAATAGCAACAGACATCCTGTAATCCACAGGGTGTGTATATTTAGAGGCCTGCAGAGCTGAAATCAGCCTGAGAGAAAAAAAGCAGTGAGAAATATATGAATTATTTTGTTTAACAGCTGTAACTTTTTTCCTTTTTATATAATATATATAATATATAATATAATATCTTGTGACCCACTCAGTTATGTTGTTGTAGCTCCTGAGGGGTCACAAGATATAAACAGGGATCAGAAAGATGCCTGAAGACATGAAAGCACCAACAACTTTACAAGAAAATGGGCAAAACAGATGAAGGTCAGTGTAAAGTAAACATTATGTATGAAAGAAATATGTTTTTCCTTGAGATCTCATGACTTGAGATCTCAGATTTATTTCTGGAGCTCCTGTGGGCCTCGAGCCCGAAGCTGGGATCAGGACATGTCACAGTGCACGTGCCATGGTTAGGGATGAGACCACGATTTGCTGCCCACAGAGATTGAAACGACTACGCTATTGGTGGTAATTGTTCATAAAACATCAATGAAGATGTTTCTTTGTTCTGTCAAAATCAAACTTAGGGCAGAGTGGACAGGATGAGAAGAATTCGCAGTGGGATGACTTCGGGGTTGTAAGTTTTCCATCACTTCTATAAAAAAACAAGTGGAAAAATGCAAACTCATCTCGACCTCCCAGATGTTTCCGACGTTAAAAAAACAAGTTCATCTGCTCAACACTCACCGTAATGAAAAGCGCTGTCGTAGTCTGGTGGAGGGAGAGAACAGAGAGAGAGAGAGCGAGAGAGAGAGAGAGGGGAAAAGAAATGAGAGATTTAGCTGCTGACACACTTCAGAGAGCACTTACGATATGACTGCTATTCAGCACTTTTAGAGCCATGGCCATTCATCTATTCATTAGCCAGTGTGGTACCAGTGTTAATTTACATGAGCCAGGGCCCAGAGTAGTATCTTAATTTGACTTTTCCCAGCTTCTTTTGGAATAATACCCACCTTTGTCGCCATCTGCTGCGGAAGCTGTGAAAAGAAGGAGATAAATCATTATTCTTAAAAAAAAAGACATTCACAGGGTTGAGTATATGGAGAAGATTCACTCTCCAGAAGTGTGTACACCAGCTCCAAACTCAACTACACTGCTTTCAAACAGGCGCTGAACTCTGGATCTTCTGATATAATCAAGGGGAGCTGCGTGTGAGAACGCAAATGTCCGAGTGAGAGCCTGACGAATATATACCTCACGCCCTGCTCCTTCCTGCTCTACACAGGTGCCACCCCCTCACCTGAATGCTGCGTTCTTCATATGTGAAAGTCAAACCATGAAAAATGTCCAGACCCAATTTCCAGACATTTTCTGGTTCATTTCTGACACAGCTTAAAGTGTCAGCCATCAGTGTTCGTCACAACTTTCACAACAGACATGTACCTGTTCCACTTTCTTTAGAGTCAAATGATCTCAGCTTATGTGTGATCCTGCTCTGTTTTCCTGCTCTGTGTTCGTTTGTGTCACGAATGTGGGAAAGTCCAGACCCCTCTGCTCTGTCTCATCCCTCTGCTCCCATCTGGGAAAACACACTGGCTGCTGTGTTCATGTTGCGTCTCCACCACTCTGAGATCTTGCTACACCGCTCATTGTATTTGGTGTTAGTCTAAAATCATAAATCCGCCGGGACATCAACAAAACAACAAGAATAATTAAAAGAGACAAGATGACTCGGTGTGATAATAAAAACACAGAGGAGTTGAGAGTGAGAACTATGTATCCACACAGCGGCAACATTTCACATCATTATTTTTTTACAGCTCTATTTTAAAATACTCCACTGTGACTGTGAATGGCAGCTTAAAATGTCAGTATGTTCCAGTATAAATACCAACAACTGAAGCTGAAGACAGTAAGAGGATAATGTGTGAAATCATTTCCAAGTGTGGGCAAACACGATGTGATCTTTTAACTTTTACAATTTATCACAGCAGCTCTACATGAAATTCAGATTCTGGAGACATTTTTCTAACACATGATAGAAAAAAAATCATGACCTCTTGAAACCTTAAACTCTAATATATGTTATACTCCTGTTTTGCAGAGTAAGTGCTGGAGTTAACTGTCAACTTATTGTTAGTAAACAGTTTATCTGTGAAACAAAAAACACACGTTGTATTATACTGATGCTGACAAGCCTCAGGACATAAGGTCTAACGGAGAGGATAAAAATCTGCTTGTAGAATCTGCCCAACATCAAGCTGAAAACCTGCAGCACGCACAGCCAGACCAACCGAAGATCTGCGTTAGCAAAGCTGGCAGCACTCGCTCCTGCACTGTAAGGAAATATTTACACTGCTCTCACACAGTCTTCACTCACAGCAAAACAATGACATGAAGTGGAAAACATTCAAATGTAAATGATGATGGGATTCAACACCAGCATGGACCAAAAAAAAAAGCTAGAGGCCATGCATTGCTGGTGACAATTCTAATGCAAGATAACTTACCCGACATTTCCCTGCCAAACGCTGATCCTGTTACACAGACACACAGCTGGTTTAGCACAGAGGGGACTTATAATAAAGCCACAGAGAGAAAGCTGAGCAATGGAACGGCAGATTATTCCCAAAGACGACACAAAGATCCCAAACAGAAGTAATGAAAACAAAGGAAGCTCACCGAGTGCAGGAGCCAACCAGGAGCTGAACGCCAACAACACCACGAGATCCATGGTACCTGCTGGACAGAGAAAAACACAGAGCGACGAGGAGAAGTGATAAACGCATCAATGTGCTCACACATGGGGTCACTGCCGTTTCATGAGGGTACTGTGCCAAAGTGACACGTGAAATTTGATGTGATTTACAGAAAAACTTTACAAACTTCCTTCTAACTCTGCAACTTAATCTAACAGCCTTGTTCACAGAGAGGAACCTGTTTTAAATTGAAGAAAAATCAGAAATGACCAGTCAGCCGATTAAAAGTTCAACTTGTTTAACTGAATTACATTGCTGCTTTAAATGATGCTGTTGAAAGAACAGTCCGGCCAAAAAGAAGAGCCAAATTATTTATTTATTTATTTATAAAATTCAACTTCTATATATTTGATTGTATTTATTTTCATTTATTTAAGTTTATGGTTAAAGTGTAAAATCAAGTACGTTTCTTTGTTTGACAATGGCATCTTAGGATTCATCGCCAATTATTTTTACATATATAAAGTGATCAGTATCAGACCCCAATATTGGGGCCAGCCCCCATAATTCCACATTGGTGCATCCCTGGTAGGGACACACTAATCTTGGTTGGATGTTACATAACTGTATCACTTAAATGATCAAGATCTGCTTCTTAGTAACACAACCCCCTGACTCTGAGTGAGAGAAGAGGGTCTATTTCGGACGGCGCACCTCAGAAATATGGGGGCTTGGTGGAGGAGGGGTGTGAGTCACTGTCTGGTGTTGGGTTCCACTTGATGTTTGGCCAGTGGGTTTGGACTGGTTTCTACTGGGACATCCACTCTACTCAATCTGATCGACTCAAACCACCTGGAGTCGTTTTTCTGTCTATATATTGTCTGGAACATTCTTTAAGATTCTCTTACATCCAAATATTTACAGGCTAAGGTTCCACTACCGGGCTTGTGGCTGGAGTTACAGGGGATCTGCAAATGTAAGGACACAGCATGACCACAGAACACACTGGTTGTAGTTTCCTCAGCTCCACAGCAACATTCTACCAATAAAACTACTAGATATGATGCAGGTAGACGCAGCCTTAGCTCCACACTTGCAGAAAAGTGAAGCCATGGAATAAAATGCTATTGCAAACTCCAAGGCCTGCATGTACAGGGGCTTCACTGGCCCAGAGCAGAGCTGTGGATTCATGCACGAGGAGAGTGGGGGTGTGAAGAGAAACCAGTACTTCCACCCTGGAGCAGGATTAACAACAAAGATCTGCCAATCAGGTTTAATTAAACAAATACAGGCAGAGTTTTTCTAACAAGAGCCGAGCCAATAATCTTGTTTGTTAGACTTCTGAGTCACGTAGTCGAGAAGAATGGGCAGAGAAGACCATGAAGCAGCACTTCAAAACCACAATTACCATGGATTAAAATAAAGTGGGATTATCATGGAGTGTGTGCAAATAAGAAGAATGTGCTTGTTTAACTTAACCCTTATAAACAAGCCCCATTGGAGAGTTTGCAAACCAAATCATCAGTGTGCTGCAACACACTTACAGATAGAGTTTTCCCCTCAAACTGTGCAAGATGCATTCAAGACATTGAATGCACCGCAGACTGGAGAACACTTCACGGTCTGCTGGCAGTGATCAGTGGGGAACTGAAGCTCTCAGATGGCGTGGCATTTTCTGAGCAGGAAACACTCTGACGCCATCGGCAGCCTGGAACCCACGGCTGAATGTGGGGGGAGAAAACCCGCGCAACTGGCGCGTTTTTGTGACACAGACATAACGGTGATTTGAAGCAATTTAATGGTCACATGATCACGCAGGCATTTAGAAGCTGGGGGGGTTGGAAGTTTGTGGTTTGCAGCAGGAGCAGTAGAAGGGAAACACAAGACAAAGAAAAATGTGGAAGCAGAGAAGTATTTGGGATAAATCCTGAGCTGCAGGTTTGAGCTGTTTGTGATAAATGAGGATGCCTTCACTGTCTGGAAGCTCAGAGGTGGATTTCTCTTTAAAGGAACTTACCGTGTTTCAGCCTCCAATAAACTCCCAATGTGGACTTCTCTCCGCCCGAGCTGTGCGTAAAAGTTTCACTCTCAAGTTAAAAGAAATCAGGAGGAATCAAAACCTTGTCGTGTGAGTCGAAAACAAATAAAACCACTGATTAAAAGTGAGTTATTCTGCGTTGCATTGTGTGGAGGTTGGTTCAGAAGTCTTTGCGCTCTGCTCCTCCTTGGGACTCGTCTGAGGAATGAGAGATCGAGGAGGGGGGCGGGGTGCTGCTGCTGGGAGCGCACAGGAAAACCACCCTGCTGAGATGTAAACAACAACAACGACTGTAAACTAAAGCAGAGCTGCAGTCCAGTGCTGCTGAGAGGAGACTCTATTCCCACGTGGATTGGTGCGATCACTGTTTAATACCCTTCAAATCATGCTCACTTCCTCCAAAAGACACACACGCAGTAGGCCTGTGGCACAGAGGTATAATGGGAAAGTGGCTCAGTGCAGTGAAGTGGAAGCATAAACATCAATGTGTTTTTTAACAGCCAGTCCACTCCTGTCAGTAGTTTTCCCCTCGGCTATTTAAAAACTATGTCCCACCCATAGACTGTAAATAAAGATGGACGTAGTGTCCGTGACGTCACCCGTTGGTTTCTGAAGAGTGAAAATCATTGACTGTATATAAAGATGGACGTAGTGTCCGTGACGTCACCCGTTGGTTTCTGAAGAGTGAAAATCATTGACTGTATATAAAGATGGACGTAGTGTCCGTGACGTCACCCGTTGGTTTCTGAAGAGTGAAAATCATTGACTGTATATAAAGATGGACGTAGTGTCCGTGACGTCACCCGTTGGTTTCTGAAGAATGAAAATGAGGCTCGCAGTGGGCGTTTCACCCAGCGCCATCTTGCCGGGGCCTGACTCCTCCTAGTTCCTGGCTAACCCATAAATGGGCAAAGAGGAGGCGCGCGAGTGGACGCTGGGTGGGCTGAGTGAAGACTGACAACTGAGCCACGCCCACAGAGCGTATCCTTACCTGGTTCGCTCAGGCTAAGGAGCTAGGCTAAATGCTACCCTCTACTGCTAACCAGCTAGCGCTGTGGTGTTGCTGCTCCAGAATGGTCGCGGTCGTAACAACGAAGCGAACAGAGGTAAGTTACCCTGAAACTATACAACAACAAAACCTATTGATTTATTTATTATAATAATCATACCACATATGCTTACATGCCTCAAGTGGTTTTTGATGTGACTGTGGTAATTTAATTTAAAGGGTTGTGTTTTGTCATTTGATTGTAATTTTAATAAGTTAATATAAATAAGCTGTTTATTTTTTCATTAACGTTATTTCTGAAACAATAATCTAATAAAACATTATTACTGAAGTTACTCACAGTAACGTAGTCAAGCCAAATAGGTTGGCGAGCTGAACAACTTTACATAATGTTAGATATCTAACTTGGTGGCGCTCATTCACTAAACACACAGTCGCCTTGAATTTAAAAGATTTATCGCTATAAACTCTAATGCTTCTCTCTCCACTGTGTGGAACGGTTCACGTCGGTTTAATAACTCCCGTCGCTCCCGTTAGCATCGCCATTACTGCTGGTATCTTGGCTGGAGGTTAGTGGCGCTAAGCTAACCAGCCAGGTACAGAGACAATGATACCTGCTCATCACTACTGACATGTAAATAAAATACAGTACTTTACACACCACAGACACTTCTCCGTCAGGACAATCAGCCGAACAACAAACGATAATATTCACGTGAGTGAAACTCCTCCACAGACTCCGCTCGTGTTCGGTGATGGGGATTAGCCTGTTAGCTCAGGTGAAGCGGAGCAGACCACAGGCTAACAGCCAGAGTGACAAGCTAACGGTGACGTCACGTGTCAATCAAGTGATAATTATTCACAATTTCAAACCTCTATATCATCTAAACGAGCAAGTTAGAAAAAAATCCCCTTCCCCCAACAGTTGTCATGAAGGAAGAACTTACTGATTGAGATTAAAAGCGTTTCTTGAACCAGGCTGTAAACAGGTTTAATTCTGCTCTAAAGTTGGGCTTTTTAACATGGGAGTCAATGGGAATTGACTCCTTCTTGGAGCCAGCCTCAAGTGGCCACCCAGTGAACTGCAGTTTTTTGGACTGCCGTATTGGCCTCATCGCTCGAGTTGTTGCCGCTTGGTAGGAAGGAGCGTAGGTAAAGTGACATCCTTTTTGGTGGATCAACAAAAGCATAATGTCATCAAATATCACATTTGTAACTGCCCTTCCACTCCAATCTTTCCGTTTCACCCGCTCTTACCGTGATATTGTTGAAAGTACCACCAGCAACTGCTGCCCCAACACCTTTGGCATCTGTATACCCAACAATGGCGCTGTCCTGACAGCTGCCATCGTCCATCAGCTTTTCCACGAAGACTTGCCAAGACATGTTCAAGAAACTGGTGCTAGGTGTTTTTTTAAAAAAAGGATCCCTACAGCTGAGGAGGAAGGCAGCTCGCCAAAAACCAAAAGATGAAGCCGAATCAGGAGGAAACCTGCAGGTAAAGATGGGTCGTAACGTGCTGATGCTTTGGGGTGTGTGTCAAGAAATCCCAGAAGTTTTTAGTGAAGTGCGTATCAAGGCTTATGTCATGCAGGGCGAGTGACGTCACTGATGACGTTCGAAGCCTCGCTGGTTCAGGAAGTGGTTCGAGTATTGGCACGATTTATGAACACATATATACCGCAATGGATCAGCTCACACTTTGTTGGTTAGTGTTGGCGATTTGTTGGTTTGTGTGTGAAATAGAGGTGCATTTGGTTCTATTGCTGCGTATTTGGATGGAGCCTGTGAGAAAGAGGAATCTTTCTCCTGTGTGGGAACGTTTTGATTTGATCTCTCCCAATAAGGTAAGTACACTTTTTTTAACATTACGATTTTTTTAATGTTTATTATGCAATGTACTACATTTTCTCACTGTCATTTCTCATAATCCAAGGTGAAGTGTTTGTTGTGTGCAAAAGAACTGGGGTACAACACCTCATCCATACTCCGGCATTTTCGTGCTTTGCATGATTACTATATTTAAAAAAACTTGTCACCCTGTGAAAGGGTGTTCTCTAAAGCAAGAGAAATTGTATCCAAAAGAAGGAATCGTCTGAAACCAAGCACAGTTGAACACATCTTGTTTTTGAATAAAAATGAATAAACCCCTTAAGTTGTTCAAGCACTTTCACTGCCCTCTTCATGTTCACAAGCACTCTCACTGCCCCTCACCTTGCTATAACACTGAATCAAACAGAATAGAATTTTATGAAATTAATTTATTAAGCTCAATTGATTTATTTTACTTGGTAGTCATTCCTATGGCTCTACTGTTAAAACATATCTGGCTGTTTAACAGTCCAACCCAAGGCCTCTCTCCTGTCCAACAACAAAATGCCACATTCCCTCAGGCAGAGCTGAGTGGACTGATGGCAGCGGTGGACTCCGTCATATATCATGAGTTTCTGGTCACTGGTTGTGGTTTGTTATTCTGTAAAAGTGTTGAATTGTGGACTGTGTATTCTCCACACCAAAAGACATTTAGTACAGTTACCAAGACATCAAGTTTACACAAGGTTTCTTCGCTCCACAGCAGTAATCTATGCTTTTAGTCCCCATGTGACTGTATGAACGAACACACGAACACGCAGGAACACACACGAACACACACACAAGCAGCTATCCTTGTAATGACTTTGCATTGACTACCATTCATTTGGAAAGACTAACTAAAACCTTATCCCTAAGCTTAACCATGACCAATTCATACTGATCCCTCCCTTAACCAGGAGCTCAGAAATTGAGTTTTACCTCATTAGGTCCAGGCCATGGTCCCTATGACGTCAGTGTTTATACTAGAAAAAGCCCAAAGAAGGTAACAAAAACAAGTATAAACACACATCTGTGCAGCTACTCTTTTTGGGACATTGCATTGACTTCCATTCATTGTGTGAAGCAAAATCAAAACATTATCTCTCAGATCAACCATGACCAATTCATACCTAACCATAGTTCACATCTTACCCCTAACCTTAATATGCTCAATTGCACCTAGTCCTAAAAAGGACACACACACACACACACACA